GTATTACACTAAACAAATTAAATCCCTACAAACCAACTCTCGAAAATTAATCTAATACGGAGTTTCCTGGAATAGTTCTAGTGAGGGATCGTGACCACGGAGGGTCCACTAACAGGTCAAGAGTAAGGAAAAATACTTGTCTTTGACATTTGCTGGTGGTCATGCTAAAATCACGAATTGGTAGAAGTTAGAATTTATGGGCTAGTCACTCAGCTGGGTCCCAGGTTTTGGATGGTCTACGAGCTCGCCTTTCAACCAGGAAGACCCTGAGTACGAACCCTAGCAGTGGATGTGTACTGCCAAAAAGTCCCAAACTAGGCTGTCGAAACAGCTATTCAATACTCCAGTGGTGGTTTTCAATGATTCTCTAACTGATGCCAATCCGTGGTCAGACTTGTTAAACGAATCGAATCCCTACAAACCAACGCTTGAAAACTTGCATCATTCCTGACCTATGCTACTTACAGTCCCTACCAGATACTCCGCGTTATCACGTAAAAAGTACATCCAAATCTTTTATGTAATTTATGTTTTTGTATTACTCAGGTTATAGTCATCTGAGGAGAAACAGCAAAATAATAAACGATTAGCTTATACTATCCTGATACACTTGTTGTTCTTGTTTTGTTCAAATTTACTGATTGGGAGGATCGTATGAAATATCTGAGGAAAGTCGTATGTAGAACTTTCTATCTACCTGACCAGTTGTCTAAACGGTTAAGACAAGCTGAAGTGAACAATCCACCTGGCGAGTTAAGCACGTCATACTAACTCTGCCAAAGCTCTTACAGTTATTAACGAGACCTGAAAAGGCTTGCGTCACAGAAACTTGTTAGACTCAAGTTTGCTAAACACATCCGTGTACAGCAAGACAGTATTCGTTATTAATCTATTATGGTAGAGTTTCTCGTGTTCTGTCACTACTTAGAGTGTATGTTAATTTCTTTGTTAATTTTGCTACTGTAGACAATATTCTCACTCAGTTGTATCTATCTTCTCCTTCAACTTGATTTGTGTAATGTATGAATGATCTATTATTATGACTTTTGTCACCCCGATTACTTTTGTGCCATTAATATAACAATTTTATACGTCTAAACTATTCACATTATATTGCCGTTTTTCATTCAAGGTCTTAACCTGTATGGTGAAGTAACGGTAGAAGACAAGAGACTTGGTAAAGGAATACCTCAGGATTTCATAATAAAATGACATCGGTTAGAGGACCATTGGGAAACCTGGTAGTGCTGGACAGCTGTTTCGTCCTAGTCTGTGACTCTTCATCTCTATGTACACACTGAGGTTCAAACCCAAGACATTCTGGTTACAAGGCTTGAGAGCTCGTAGACCATTCAACCACTGGGACCCGATCCAATGGTCCATGAATTCTAACTGCTGCCAACTCATGAAAAGTGGAGCGACCACTAGCAAATTTCACTGGCGAGTATTTATCCTCTCACTAACGGTATTCCATTGTAATCCTATATTTACGGTGGTCCCAACAGTTCCATGTTATTGATTAAGATATTTGCAATAGTAACAGTAGAAGATGAGAGACTTCGTAGAGGAATGTCCACTGCAATTAAGGATGGCTATATAGCAAAATTATGCACATCTTATCTTCAAAAAGGAAAAGACAAGTTGTTATTCGTGATCCCAATGGCCTACTGGATGACGCTTTGTTATCTGAAACGATGGGTGCCCAGTCTCAAGTTTCATTGAGACTGTCTTCGTTAACTGGAGACTTCAGGTATATCCATCTAGTAAGTCCTAAATAGGGAAGAAGTGCGTATTCTGGATTCCACTGCTCATCACGATGCACCAAATTGCATATTAACAATAATTTTCTGTTTTCCAAAACAGTACTTATGATACAATGTGAAATTCCTAACACTTGGTACAATACTGCATCTTATTTACTCTACAACAACAAAACAACATTACAGTGTATGGGTAACGGAAATCGATAATAGCAAATTTTTTAACATTATCCGTAAAAATGGTCAAAAATGTACAAAAGAGGTAAATTAATAATAGTGTTAGGTTACAGGATTTCATCATGAGATGGCATCGATTAGACAACCATTGGAAAACCACCACTGAAGTACTGGAGAGCTGTTTTCTCCGTCCTAGTTTGCGAGTCTTCAACAGTACGCACCCACCTCCAGGGTTCGAACGCAGAACCTTCTGGTTACAAGGCCCGCGAACTCGTAGACCATTCAGCCACTGCGACCCGATCCAATGGCCAGCACATGAATTCCAACTTCTGCCAATTCACAACATGGAGCAGCCACTTATCATTGTCTTCTTCGATAAGTAGGTGTCTTGACCAGTAGGGTACAGCAGATCGAAGGTGAGGACAGTGAGTCATCGAAGACATTGACAAGTGGTCTTGCTATGTCATGAGTTGGCAGAAGTTAGAATTCATGTTCTGGACATTGAATTGGTGGGTCCCAGTGGCTTAATGGTCTACGAGCCCGCCTAGAAGATCCTGGGTTCGAACAGTTGCGGTGGGTGCCTACTGATGAAGAGTCCCAAGCTAGGGCTGACGAAACAGTCGTCCAGTACTCCAGTAGTGGTTTTCGAATGGTTTTCTAACCGAAGTCCTTCAACTAATCAAACAAAATCCCTACAAACCAATACTTGAAAATAATAGTGTTAATAACTAAAATTATACGACAATAGAAATAATGTCACCACAAATTACAAATAGCAGTAGATCAAAGGGCCTCTTATTTTTGCTAATTACACATTAGGTTATAAGTTTCAAGCTCAACACTTCCGTGAACTAAACAGGGTATCATGGAATTTTTGTACTTGGTTGTAAGAGCATATTATCCCTGATAATGACTTATATTCTTATCTCATGAGCTGTAAGGGGACAATTGTGAATAAAGAGGGTGCTAAGAGTCAGACAGTGTGGATTTAAACCACTTCTCGTATGAGTTCAAATGTATGTTGACTACAATAGTAACGAGCCGATTTAGTGGCACACTAATTATTCTACTGACAGCCTTTAATACCCTTCGCAATATGATATAGTCCTTTTTGAGTAGTCCAGGAAAGACTAAGTAGAAAGAGTAAAGAACAATAAGTAAGATGCAAGGGGTAGGTAACAAACTATAACACTAAAGATTGGCTGATGCCTGATTGTCTGAACTTCTTAACATAGAAGGTAAGACGAAGCATCTTCTTAGGAATGGACAAGATATGGGATGTAAGCGTAGAGCTTGGGCATTGTGATGGAATTTAATTCCATATAAGATAAGTTTATTTTAATTACCACACACAGTGATCATGTAGTATTAACAACTGGATGACAAGATTTCGGGCGTAAATTACTGTCACTCATAATCATATCAATTTATTCACACGGTTTCAAAATTTGCTATATTTATATTTTTTTCTCTCTATCCTGTCTCTTCACCTCCCCTTTGTTGGTTTTGCTAGTTTCCATATCTTCGATATAGGTGGCATTGCGTCATTCCGATTACTACACATATTGTGATGAGAGCAGGCCGTGAGAAAATATGTACAAGGCTGATTCGACAACCAATCACAGCAGACTTAACGTGGCAAAATATGATTCGCAGATAGAGAACTCTATTTGTCGAGGAATCCCGAAACAACCAATCAGAAGCCTGCGTTTGTCTGCTTAACTTCTGATAAACAACCAATCAGATGACTGCGCTTGGCTACTTGCATAAGCTATAATAATGTATGTGAAATATATATAAATACGTGTTGATTTTCATAATAAAACGATCTGTTGCTTGGCCCTTGTCTTCTGTTGTTACAATATGAGGTTCTGAATCGTTAAACAAAGTTTCCGTGGTTAACCTCTCTCTCCCTCCACCCAACTATATTACTTTTTAGTACTCTCACCCTGTCCCACTTACCGTATTTTGTGTGATTACATGCAAGTGAATGCAGAGCAGTGTAATGGCTGAGACTTGTTTTTTCTAGGTTATTTAGCATATCAAGGTTAATCATTCAATGTCTAGCTAAATTCTTTTGTCCCAATAATCTAGTTGACCCTGATCTACTATTTTGACCTATGCTTTCACTGACATCACTAACAGTCATTACATGGTATTTGGTAAATTATGTTGTCTTTCTTAATTGAATCTATTGGGTCCTTAAGCCGATAAAGTTCATCTCGGAGACAGTTGGTTGATTGGTTGGTTTAAATACCACCCCCACCTAATTTCTAAGTCATTGAGTATCCTACGTGAGGACTCTAACGTTCCTTCTTTATACAGTAGTATTGCAAAAGCTTTGAATTCTATATTATTTTCGTCACTTTTTATAACTATTCTTAGTTTTTTTATGGTTCTTCATATATTTGTGAATAAATTCTAATGGGTAATTAGTTATTCACTTCTAATATTTCCTTTAATTGTTGGATTTCGTTATTTAAATCTTCTGGTCTACTAGTTAGGCTTTTGGCCCGATTATAAAGACAATTAACTAAATCTATCTTTACCGATTCTGGATGGGATGAATTAAAGCCAAAATATTTATTAGAGTGTTTCGGTTTCTTATAAATGCTAATGTCAACATCACACACATGCAATCGGAATGACGCAACAACGCCTATACCGGAGATATGAAAAGTGGCAACAAACAACAAATGGAAGTTGAAGAGACAGAAAAGAGAAAAAAGTATATATATATAAGTCAAATTGTGAAACCGTGTGACTAAACTGATATGATTATAAGTGGCAATAATTTATTGATTTATTTTTTTGATTTACATCTTGATTCCACACTGTATTTTTGGTACGAGCATGGAATTTTCAGCATGAATATCGGTAGCCCAAATTATGCAGGCCGACCATAGATATCAGGTGTGTGTCGGCAGGGGATCGAACCTCGGACCATGTGCATGGTCGGCGAGAGACCTAACCACTGTGCCACCGACGCATGTATATATATATATATATATATATATATATATATATATATATGAAGAAAATATATGCATCTATAAGTGTAGGTTATGTACATTTGACAGTTTTTAATAAATTTTGACGTAAGTAACCATCTGTTTTATGTGATAAAGGCAAGACTAATTTTGATAACACATCCAAAATTCCGGAGCCAATGAATGCATTCTCACAATTGCTGTTAGCCCATGTATCTAGAAATTCATTTGCATGACATACATTGTTCTCATTAGACTCTTCATTCGAATTATTAACTGTTAAATGTTTAAGTAAATCATTCCCAAAGTATGTTCGATTAATCCCAGTGTTCCGTAATAATTCGAGACCACTAGAACGTTTCCGTAGTGGGATAATATCCCGATGCCCTGTGCCAGAGATATAAGCTCCAACACACTGAGCATAGTCTTGTTCATCTAATTTACTGTCTACTGAAATTGATTTTTGCCCAGCTGATTCGATCAATTCTTGCCTCAGTGTATATAAATTATCATCCAATTTTGGTGATCCTAACAAATTGATTTCAGACTGATCAATTTCATTCGCTGAATGCTCTGCTTCAAACTCAATAGGATCACTTAAGTTGTTTACATCCCAATTTTCTGGACCTGGCATTTGTTGCCTGATTTGCGTCGACAAGGTCTCTAAAGTATCCACAGTGAACATAATATCTGATTTGCTTTGAAGAATGTTGTCATATTTTTCAGCTTCTTCGCTATATAACTGCACTAAATTTGGGTCATTATAATTAATAGTATAATTATAACTTGATAACTCAAATTTATCTGTTGTTTCGTTAATTTCGGGTGAAAAATTAACTATAGATGATGGAAGTAATGAATCTAACTCAGTATCTGAAACATCTTCGCACTTTAGTTCATCTAGGAATTCACAAAGAGCCTGTACCTTCTGTTCATTATCATTAGAAATAGAAAGATCAGGAGGTGACACAGACAAACGATGAATGGACTCTGTATGGATTGATGCAGTATTTGTAGGTTTTGGATTTGTACTTTCCGGATCTAAAAATTCATCTGTACCTCCTCCTGCATATCGCTTTTGAGCTGAAGAAATATGCACATCTGACTGATATTTGCCTACTTGCCGCCGTGTCGAATGCTGCCGAGATCCACTTTTTGCATCAGCTCGTCTTGAACCTTTAGGCGATGGTGATAACGATTCAACATCTTCATGTAAATCATACTGATGACTTCCGTTACTGCGTCTCCTGGTGCTATGTGAGTTACGTGCAGGATGACGGTCATGACGTTTTAGATAACGACGTTTATGCATATCATGGCGGTCATCAGGACTATAGTATCCGGACTTCCTCTTAGAAGGATGTGACCGTGAATGGATATACTTCTTTTCATCTGAACGATGCCTTTTTCGAGGTTCGTATCTTTCAGAATCGCTACTTCTTTCCCTATATGAAGCGCGACGTTTCGAACGAGATCTACAACGTGCAGATACATGGCGACGCTGTGTTGATTGACGATACCCATAACTTAAAGAAGCTGAATTTTCTTTCTTTGACTTTGAAGGTGGACTGACAGACTGACGAACTCTTTTCGCTGTAGCAGAATTTCCTTCAAGTTTAGTATCTTGGTGATTATTTGTAAGCCGTGAAGAGTCAGTTTTACGATCACGATTAAAATGTGTTGAGGGGGAACGACTATTTTTATTGTGTTTCTGTTTATATGACTTTTCATTAGAATACTCATCATGAACCAGACGTTTATGATGCTTTCTGGCGCTAAATGACGACTGATTATATGAAGATTCTGAAGCATCTGAGGAACATGTAGAAGCTGATGATGGTGTGTTTGGAACAGATTCATAAGCAGAATGCACACGCATATCCGCTTCACAGCTTTGCGCTCTAGCAGTTGATACAACCTTACGACTGCCGTCCTCACGAACGACTGGTTTTGCAGAGCGATGAGGCTTTTCATTCGCCGTTGAAGCCTTTGATGCACTACTTCGCCTATGTGATTTATCTCGATGCTTCTGTTTTCGAGGAGATTCTTTGACAGGTGACGCATCCGCTGTTAATTCAGAATTAAATTCATCACGCTTGCTATGCTTTTCATGTTTTGTTTCACTCTTTGAATGTTTTCTCTTTTTCTTGCTATGGTCACGTTTGTACTGATCAATTATAGCTTCTTTATCAAGCGATTCTCCTTTACTTCCACTATCCGACTGGATTACGTCTGAGGGAAATTTGGAATCGCCAAGACTTAAGGATTCACTATGGTTTTTTGTATGCTTTACTTTTGAATGTCTTTCTTTTTCTCCTGAGGAAGCATTCACTGTAGTTCTTTTCGAATGATTAGACTTTTTCGTTAATTCTGAGGTTGAGGTATTTTCAACATCCTACAAATTGGATGTTTCATGGACAGACGGTTGGTCATCTGGACGAACAGAATCAGTTTGTCGGGGCAATTCACGAATGTTCAGTACAGGCGTCAGCAATTAACAACAAGACAAACACAAAATAGTTAACTATTTAGAGACAATTACACATCAAAAATCGATTCGTTAGCTTACCTTTCAATATCCCATTAATCAATCCTGGTATTATTATTATTATTATTATCTCTCTGTCCTCCTCCAGTTCTTATTTGTTTAAATAAACTATTTGATGGTTCAAATTTTTTAAAAAGATTATTACAATATTCATTAGGCAATGAATTCAATGTTTCAATATTATTTGAAATCATATCAGTTGTACTCATACTACTGAAATTATCTGTTGACGTAGTCTCATGTTTATACGACTGTTGTTGTTGTTGTTGTTGACGTTGTTGATGATGATAGTCAGTTTCATTGGATTGATTGATTTGTTGTATCTTGACTAATGAATCATAATACGGTGACCATGATGTGTTGTTATTACGGTTAATATGATTATTATTATTAATACTAACGTTGATTTCTTGTTGTGTTTGTCCAACAGACTGTTGTGGAGGTAGAATAATTGCATTTGTTAAGTGTATTATTTGTAATTTATTAATTTCTTGATTAATTTGTACACTAGACTGATGTTGAACACTCTTTAGATCATCAAGTTTATTCACACCATTATAAAGATGATGATGAGATTGTGGTTGGTAGTCATAAAGTTGACTTTTCTGTTTTATTGTTGACAATTGTTTTAGACTAACATTTTCTAGGGATGTATTGTTCTCGTGTATACTATTATTATTATTAATAATCAATGAATCATTAATCGAATAGGATTGCTCTTCCTGTTGCTGTTGTTGATGATGATGGGGATGATAAGCATCATGTTGATGTTCACGTATCTGATGATGTTGTGTTGAATAAGTCGGTGAATAATTATGATGAAATGATGAATTATTATTGAAAGAATGATTATAGTCTCCATCAAAAAATTCCCTTGAAAATTTATTCAATTCTTTTTTCAATGAAGGGAAGTAAATTTCATCACTTGATTGCCTTGGCTTTTGAGTATAAACTGTTTTAATGGATTCTAATAATGGTGGTTTGATAATTGTACTCTCTGTGGTCTGATTTAATCCCTTATTGTCACTAGTTACAATATTATTATAATTATAATTATTATTATTATTATACATATTTGAAAAGTTTAAAGGTACACTTAGTGATCCAGATAAGGCGTTCATGTGTTCATTGGTAGACAGAAATGATGAAATTGTCGTTGGCTGGTTATTTTGTTCCTCTTGTTGTGTTCTACTATCTACTGGTTGTTGATATTGGTGTTGATAATAATCATGTTGATGTTTCTGTTGTTGTTGTTGTTGATGATGATATGCAACAGCTGCCGCTAAAGCCGCCACATGATGGGCTGCCGCCGCCGCTGCTGTTGCTCCAACAAGTTTCTCTTCATTTACATGAACTGATGAAGAGGTAAGCAAATCACTTGGATGATTAGATTGTATCACTTCTGTAAATTGACTATAATCTGAAGGTGTATTTTTAATCAAAGAGGGGGCTACTATATGACACGAGTTAATTTCTTGATTACTATTCAGGTAGAAAAATTCATTCATAGTATCACCTTTAATTACATTAGATGGATATGATGATGATGAATAATTAGGCTTGAACTGGGATGAATTCGAGTAATAATCATAATCATTGTTTGATTTTACACTGTCAATAAGATTTTGAAAAACACTCACTCGATCAGATTTATGAAATTCAAATGGGAAAGCTTCTGTTATATTGTTGTTATTATTATTATTATTAGGTAGAGGGTGTAATGTCGACTCTTCTGGCTCATCTTTACTCGCCAATGATTCATACAAAACATGATCTTTTGAAAATTCGCTTGAAGTATAATTCATACTGTTGTTATCTGTACTGTTAACTAGATCATGCGGTTTGAATAAGACATTACAATGAACACTAGATTTGCATATATGATTGATTGTTGATGTAGTCATCGAAGTAGTAGTAGTAGTAGTAGTAGGTAAACCTGAATTAAAATATCCTTGTGATGAACAATAGTCAGGAAGCCGACGTAGACAAGAGGAATTCGAGTCAGTTAGTTTATCTGACAGAGTTTTTGAACCTTCTGTCGATGATGTTGTTATTGTTGATGTTCGACATTGAATCATAGACAGATCATTATAACTACTGTTTGCAGACATTGAATTCGTAGGATTCAACTTTTGTGAGGTTACTTCATCATGGATAAAATTTGCTGAATCTACAATCCCTTCATCATTATATTCTCGAACTAAATTCAATGCATTTTGAGTAGTTTGAAATGGCTTTGTAAATGTTTCTTGAAGAACTGAATGTGTAGGTATATTAGAAGGATAAGATGGTTTATAATCAGTAGGAAAGGAGGATAAATTTTCACATTGATTAATATTTGTCTCATAAGATGGTCGTAATGACGACGATGATGATGACACTGATGATGACGTAACAACTGAAGAAGTAACCAGTTGATGAATCCAAGAATTAGTACAATTTTTAGCAACTGAAGGTAAATGAAATCGATCCGAGAACGATGAGGCTGGAAAGATTTGATCATGTGAATTTGAAACAATATTTTCATTATATCCTTCTGATCCAGTATTTTTATCGAACATTCGATAAGCAGATAATAAATTTGTATTCTTTTGATGCTTTCTATCAGCACTGTGTATATTCAATTCACTGTTAACCTTAGTGGCTTTTAATGGTGATTTCATCGCTCTTTTGTCTGGACGATTTTCAGTGAATTCTTGTGCTACTTCTCCTTAGTTCAAGAAGAAAAAAACGAGAATAAGAAAGACAAAAAAAGGTGAATGAACGAATGAAGTTAGAACATTGTAGCGTGTACTACTGACAAGATTTATCAGTAGTAGTATATTGACGCAGATTGATAGGAAGTAGACAAAATTGAAAACATTTTAAGTCAATTGCTAAAGAAACAGCAGTGTTTATTCCTCAAATATAAAATTAACTTACGTTGTGGTTGGGAAGTAATCTGATTGGATAACTGTTCGTCCAAAGGTTTAAACTTCAGCAAACCAACAACCAACCAGGACGTCTTATTATCCGCTGACCTAGCTGACCTTTAATGTGGCCGAAAGTGTATAAATACGGTGTGTTTTTTCCTTAACAAAATTGTCCTTTACCAAAACTCTTGTCTTTCTCCCGTGACAAGTCTACTTAAGACTAAAAATATTTGCGTTATTTTAAAGTTTGTGAAGATACCAATTATTTATAATTTTTGAATATTGAAGATAGAGATTTACTCAATTAAGACATAATTATTCACAAGTGTTGACTTACACCACGGACTGATATCAGTTGGAGTACCATTGAAAACCAGGTGGGAGTAATGGACAACTGTTTCATACTAGTTTCAGGACTCATTGGCAGTACACACCCACTGGAGTGAGAATCCAGGACCTCCAGGATATAAGGCAATCTCGTATACCAATTGAGCCACTGGGACCCACCCGACTCAATCGCCAGTCTATCATTTCTAACTTCAACCAATTCTAGATTTTAGCGTGACTACTAGCCATTGTCACTGTCGAATATTTGTGCAACAATAAAGTATATATAATAGCAGTAATAATAATAGTGATTGACTAGCACTGAAAATTTGTCAAACTGAAGTAATTAAATATCTTCTGAATCAAATCAATTAATTTGTACTTTGTTTAGACAACAGATAGTAACTAAAATCATGTGTCTAATAGTTCGCCTTTGGTACAGACTGAATTCTATCACCTTACCTTTAAAACGGGAAGGTGATGGGTTCGAAACCTGATAGTGGGTACTTACTGCTGATGATGATTCCCAAACTAGGACGATAGAAACACTTGTCCAGTACTCCCTGTTAGTTTTCAGTGGTTCTCTAATTGATATCAATCCCTGGTCTAGCTTGAAAAACAGATTTTATTGTCAATTTGTTCATGTTACTCTTCGTGTTAAAGTACAGTGGTAGATGCATGAAATTATATACTACTCACTGATTGAAATGAGTAGTTGCACACCACTCATTGTGAACTAATAGTACTTTCAGATTATGAATTTGACTTATAGTATATCCAGTTCGATAAAGTAGCTAGCCAGTGATCAGATGGTTTCAACTGATTCACCACTATGAACAGAGTCAATGACGTGGTTTCCAAACTAGACAGTGTAGGAAATCTTGCCTCTTCGAACTGTGTACATGGCGAACTACTAATCAGTTTTCAAATTTTCAATTTAATTTTACAGTGGTTAAATAGTCTGCCTACTCTCTTTTGATCAGTCAGGGAACTCTGAAGATCAGACTTATTCAACATTCAAATTATACCTAATCATGTGTGAAGTAAATGATTGTCGAAATAGAAATTGTTCAGTCGTCATTAGAATTCATCTAAAATGTTGGAGAAATTAAATAAAGTGTCACTAGTGTTATGTTTCGCCTTTATTGCAAAAAAATGTTTTTTGATCCAAAAAAAACCCACATAAGACTTTGCTTTCTCAACCTCAAAATGTTTTGAATATACTTTTCAGCGACCTAGTTTTACTGTTTATCTTACCGTCTTCTTAAGCTACCTTGGGATTATTTATGAATAGAGGAATATATATATATATATATATATATATATATATGGTCGCTTTAAAATCACGAATCGGTAGAAGTTAGAATTTCTGAAGCTGGTCATTCAGTTGGATCCCTGTGGTTGAATGGTCTACAGGCTTACCTTGTAACCTGGAACTGCCAGTGAGTCGCAAACTATGCTGACGAAACAGCTGTCCAATACTCCAGTGGTGGTTTCCAATGATGGCCTAACTGATATCAGTCCATGGCCCATCTATAAACAAACTTAAGTCAACTTTCCTACTAGCCAATAGTAAAATATATTTGAACAGACAGCTAACTTTGAGTTCTAAGTGGAACAAAAGGTTTCAAGTGTTGGAAAAAAAAGTCTCAATCTTTGTACAGTTGTTACGTTTCACGGTGTGTAGAGTTGCTGGCCTTACACTTAATGTCCCCTCTCTTCTTGGCTTTTTATCATCACGTTATTCCGGCGAGATTTTAGGAATCGAACTCGAAAGCCTCCAAAGCCTCAGGATGGTCGGGGGGGGGTGCCTTGCGCTGCGGGTTGGCCACCCCTCCGTACACCTCTTGAGATGCTCCCATATGACCGGGCGTCTTACATAGCCTCTCCTGAGGAAGTCCTACTCACTGCCTTCACGTGGCGGAGGTGTTCCTCACCAAAGTGAGAGGGCAAAAGCGGATTCCCGGCGCTCTTCACCGGGTTGACTGTCCATTGGATGACAGTCTAGGGGAGATGGCTAAACCCTGATTCCAAACCTCCAACGACTGGCGTATGAAGCTCACCAGCAGACGTATGGACAAAGGGCTTATTGGATGCCCTGGATGTCTGGCCCCATTCAAAAAGGCGAATGAACCGGACTCCGGTCAACGGCTGCCAATGGATAGTGGACTCCCTACTCCACTCCTACTGCCTTGTAGGTCACACTTGGTTGTGTAAAGGCTAGAGCTGCACTCTCAAACAAAAGGCCGAGCGATGCTGGGGACATCACTCGTACCCAATTCCCATGAAACTTCATGGTTCATGAAGCCGGCTCATCCTCCCGTAGGAGATAGCCGAAGTAAAGTAAAAAGTAAGTAATCGAACTCGAACCATGTGCATAGCTGTCGAGTTACTGAAACAAACAGACTTTGAAATAATTTGTATGGAGAGAACTACTAAAATACAACTTCGAGGTGGGTTTTTTTTACTATTTATTTTTGATTTTTGATTTTTTTTTTTTAGCGTCTCTATCATAATCTGTGATTATTAAATTGCATTGAATAGATGTTTTTTAACTTAACTTCCGAACATCCATCAGAATCTAATCCCCAAACCTTGTAAAATATCAAAAATCAAAGGTCATCAGGATTGAAGGTAAACAAAAATTTTCCAATGAACCACTTGATGATAATTCAAACAACAACGACAAGAATGTATACCGTTAGTCTAAAACACAGAGACACTACTATTCAGAATTATTGATATCAGAATATGTGTGTGTATGTGTGAGTAAATGTATTTACCACAGTGCCCAAGTTTTACTTATATATGAAATATCTTTACCATTGATCTAGTTCATTCTAATCAATCACTGATTTGATGAAATCTCACCCGATTGGTTGGTTCATATTAACCTGTGAGCTTTATGAAAATATGATTAATTTGATATTAGTTTGTGTATTAGATATATCACACAGTCAGTGAAACAGTATCAGTATTTACTGCATGACATTTCGAACAAAATGTATTACTGTTCATAATCATTTCATCAATTATAATCACACGATTTCGAAACTTGAGTTTTATAGTTTTCTTTGTTCTCTCCTATTTGTTGTCGTAGGGGTAGTAGAATTTTCCAGATGTCCCTCTGGAAAGGTGTTGGATCATTACTATTACACGTATTCTCTTCAGTTGATTCAATAAACAAAGCTTCTGTCACTTTACTTAGAACGCAGGATATAGATAGATTTTTCGAACACATTAACTCAAAGATGGAAGCAATTTATATCACTTATGAATTGGAAAGTCAGGAAGGGGAACTTCCAATGTTAGATTCTGATATAAAATAGGAAAGAAAATGGGAAGTTAAACACTAGTGTTTGCAGGAAACCCACACATTCAAACAGATATTTGGACTTCCCATCATCTCATTCTATATCAGTAAAAATAGGATTGGTGAAATGTTTAAATGACAGAGCATAAAAACTAAGTAGCACCAAGGAAAAACTAAGACAGGAAGTGATAAACATAAAAGAAGCCTTGAAACTTAATAATTGCCCTGTTAAACTAGTTAGAAAGTATGTAGGGAAATGTAAAAATAAAATAAATAATGATAATAATAATAGTAATATTAGTGACGATATGGGTGTCAAACATGCACATGACAACACCAATAATAAGGAATCTAAATCATCAGTAGTAATTCCATACAAGGAAGGGACCTCGGAAACCTTACGCAGAATTCTTAACAAGGCAGGAATAAAAGTGGCTATCATTCAAACCACTCACAAACCCAATTAAAAACAAGCTTTGTCGGTTAACGCATCCTGCCAATGGAGCCAATAAAACAAAACAATTTCGTTTATCTAATACCCTGCTGGAATGATTGTCAGGTCAGATACATAGGTCAGAGTAGTAGAACGGGGACAGTCAGACTACCGGAGCATAAAAACCTAACAAAACCTAGATTAGTTGATTGGAATAAGATAAGAAATCTAGGGAATAGTTCAGCTATACCCCTCACTACATGAAATTACACACAACCATACAATATGACGTGATAAAATGACAGTTTTAAAATCTAGTGTAACAGGGTGGAAGGAGAGATTGATAACGGAAGTTTGGTTTGTCGAATCAACTCCAAATACATGTATTAGGAATGATTCAATACCTGTCCATTCGGACATCTGGAAAATTCTAATACCCCTACGACGACAAAATAGGAGAGAACAAAGAAAACTATAAAAAATGAAGTTTCAAAGTCAAGTGATTACAATTGATATGATTATGAACAATAAATTTTGTTCGAAACGTCATCCAGTAAATAATACTGTTTCACTGACTGTGTTATATATCTAATAAACAAACTAATATGGAATTACTTGCTATCACAGTGCCCAAGTTTTACACATATATTATTAATTTCAGGTAAAAATATTGATTTTCCGTGAACTCTTGGTATCAGTATAAAACTTGGACACTGCGGTAGAGCATAACTCCATTATGAATAAAATTTTATTTTGATAAAATCACAAAGTGTTATACACTAATAATATTTACTGATGACTACGTTCCAAGCGCAATTGATTACTGCTCATAAGCATATCAAGGCACTACTCATTCAACTTTCTTGATTCCTTTATATACATGAGTAAAAACTGATGATTAGACATTTGAATAAAATCAATATGAGATAAAGTACATCCGAAAGTATTAATATTAGTGTTATCGGTAAAAATACAATCAGATGGGAAGTAACATGTTTTCATAGTCTGTCTCTCTGTCTGTTTTCGACATAGAACTTTGCACAAATGTGCGCCAGTTCAAGTCGCCACACTCCGTGTAGCACGCGAAGCAAGAGAAGAAAGTACAAGAAAAGCATAATAGAGACAGTGAGCAGAGGTGTCAGACAAAGGAGTAATAAAGAAAAACAAAACAGTTTCATTGGAGATAATAAGTCACAAGGAGTGGATGCATCTGCGTCAGCCACTGAGGAAGATTTTGAGCCATGTCACTAATTGTTTCCAACCATTGATTTTTACCGTCCTGAGGACCCCAGCCTGGAAGTCTACACCTTCCTACGTGGCTTAGACCAACTGTTGTGGATTTCATTGACTGGTGCCAGGTTTTTGTTTGACCTCCGCTAGCTTTTTTCCGGCCTGACCCTATATCCGCTAACATTGCTCGTCGAGGGAGGCGATGACTTGGCATACGTAACACATGTCCTAACCATCTCAGTCTTTGTAATTTCACGACTTCGTCGATTGATTTCCTCTGTTTGCCTAGCACTCGACGCCTAACCTCAATATTGCTCACCTTAGTATACCACTTCACACGGGAGATAGAACGCAGGCACCTATGATCAAATACAGCTAGTCTTTTCATGTCTTCCACTCTCAGTGGCCAGGTCTCACAACCATAAAGGAGGACGGAATGGACTGACGAGCAGTACACCCGCCCTTTGGTCGATAGTCGAACATCTCGTCTACGCCAGAGTCGGTGTAAACTGGCATATGCGAAACTAGCCCTCTGTATCCGTGCTTAGATTTCGTCAGAGATCAACCCGTTGGCACTGGCTTATGGTACTCCCCAAATAAATGAAGCGGTCAACGTGCTCTACCACTTCACTTCCTATTTTTAAATTAGGCGTCGATGTAGTCCAGTCCTGTAACATCATCTTGCATTTGGCGGGAGCGAATCGCATGCCAAACATTCGTAGATTGCAGCTCGAGTTGTTTAGAAGACTCTGCATGTTTTCATAGTAAAATAAATAAATAACTTGTTAGGATGTTATAATGTGAAGTGAACTGAATACATTTTAACATTATTTATTATCCTTCTCTGATTTGACTGACTGGTAGTAATAATATCTTCCATATCTCTGCTATTTGCTTTGAGTCACTTCTACTGCATACAGCTATAGTGCTGTATGCATTAACACACAATGACACAATAGGGTGGGACAGAGTCAAAATTCAAAACTGTAATATAAGTAGGTGGAGAGAGAGAGAGAGAGGTTCATGACTGAATCTTTGTTCATCGGATCTACACTCAATCAGTCAAATTCCTTACAAAGCAAACAACTCAGTCAATTAGTATGTAAAACAATTTTTGAGTAATACTGAAAGACTACTACTGAAACTTCTACGCTCTAGGAGAGACAGGGAATCCAGCGGCGAAAACAGAGGATTCCTTATTTATTTATTTTATTCCCTTACGTTCCTAGTGAAACATAGGGCTCCATGCTAGAGTTTGGAAATTCTAGTAAGAGTGGGTTTATTTTTATGGAGTGTGGTTGCTACCCTAACACCCAAGCTTCCCTCTTTACTGGTCTTAGTACTGGCTTTGTAAGGTCTAGAAGTGCGTCAGCAGCCGAGGATCGAGCCCCAGACCACGTGGTTGGCTTGTGCGACGAGTGTTCTATCGCTGAACCACAGACGCACGAAGACAGAGAATAATACAGACAAATACTAATACAAATCCAATTACCCTACCACTGTGTATGACTATCAACCTTCTACTACAACTCATACCAACCGGTATTATTCTATTTCATTTGCTTCGTAACTTAAAGACCCTGTAGCCTATCCATTGTAAGATTATGCACACGACCAATAGTTTCAAGTAGTATCTGTTTACATTGAAACTTGAATAAATCATGATTATTTTTCAACACTTTCATAGAAGTAAAAACTAATATATACATAACTTCAGCTTACTTAAATCTTTTTCATTCGATTTACGTAACGAGATTAGTATACATTGATTACAATAACATTCACGATATGGACATGTTTTTTTATGACCTTTCCATGAAATACTTTGACCATGATTACGACATCTACGACAATGTGGTCCAATATCCTCAGTGATTCTATCCAATGCTCCTTTCATTGTAATAATCTCTTTATTTGATGATGATGATGACGACGATAATGATGAACGAGGATCTTTTGAATGCGTTACATATTTATGATGTGAATTATGACTTTTCTGATCACGAAATAAAGCAATCTGTTGAGCAACAATTCGACGACCTTTTTCAACCAGGTAACACATATCACATGTACAATCACGAAATGGACAATTACGTTTATGCTGTCTAACCGGTTCAGACATTCCGTGTCCTTTACACTTACGACATTTATATGGTGAACGTGTTAGAATACTACCATTATTACTATTAGCTGATGATATCAGTGTTTTGTTTTGTTTCAATTTTGAGCACATTTCATAGTTTAATGAATGTTTTATAGGTTCATTCATTTGTGAAGTTGTCTGTTTCAATATACTATTGTTATTGTTATTGAGTGAATCGATTAGTTGACAGGTAGTATTGTTTAAAGGAGTCGAATGATTTTGTGATGATTTTAAATTGTAAGCAAAATTACTGTTGATTATATTATTACTACTAGTAAAAGCAACAGTAGTATTAGTAGTATTAGCAATTGCCGTTGTTGTTGTTGCTGTTGTTGTTGTTGCTGTTGTACGATATGTCAACTTATGCGTTAATCGATTTGTTTTAGGCGCTTGACGATGATACTCAGATAAGTATATCTGTTGATTGCTACGAAATAATTCTGATGATTTTCCATGCATTGTATGAACAGAAGGTCTATGCTTTCTACTATTCAATCCAGCACGTAATGAATACAAACATTTACTGGGGGAACTGTTTACTCCACTATACTTGCTTAGTTTTACTCGTGTACTTTCGTGTAAATTAGAGATATGACAGTTGGTACTATTGACTGGATTCGGTAATATCTGATTGTGTAGATTAGTGTCTCTGTAAAAAAAAAAGAAAAAAAGATTAAAGAACAGGACAGGACAGATTACAAAAGTGATATAACAGTGAATATTCTATCAGCGATCATTTCCAAATGTTAAAAATTTCATGTATTATTAAGAAAGTTTTGTTTTACATAATTCCTGCATCATACATCACTCACGGGTGTCGGTATTTCAGTAGCAGAGTGCCCTGTCAATCATACACGGGATTCCGCTTCACTTCCCCGCCGATGCACTCCTAGACCTCGCCTTGCTGATGACAAGACCGGTAAAGAGGGAAAGTTGGGCCAGAAGCTGACAAACTCACCCTGTAAAAATATACACCATCGCTATTGAAGCTTGACCGCTCTACGCTTCACTTAGAACGCAAACGATTCAATACACACACCACTAATAAAGCTTTCTACAATTGTTTAAGTCTTCTCCCTGTCCATATCAAATATCAATCTATCGATATAGATTAGTTGTAGTTTATGCTTTTAACTAAGGCGTATTTCAGTAGTATAACACTGTTAGCATCACAAGCAAAAGCTGCAAAAGTTGACTACTTACACATCAACTAGCTAAAGTCACGTCAAGAGGAAAGAAGAAGATTCTTTGATGGTATAAAAAATTAAGAAAACAAAAAGAAAGAAGCCGCTAGGTAAGATTAGCTAAAGGAAGAACATAAAAATGCCCAGAGTTGTCATTACTCTAATGAAAAGTCGTGAACAGAGGGGGACACGAAGTCTGGTGAGACAACAGTTACTCGCTGGCGTTTGCTCCATATATATATCACCAATTGGCGGAAGTTGGAATTAATGGGTCACTACAACGGGTTCCCTGTGGCTGAATGGTCTACAAGCTTACCTTGCAACCAGAATGCCCTGGATTCAAACCCTGGTAGTGGGTGCGTATTAATGAAGAATCTCAGACTAGAACACAATAGCTACCCATTACTCCCAGGTTTTCCAAGGGTTCCCTAACTGGTTTTAACTCGTCATCTAACCTGTAACTAATCAAAAACCCACCAAACCAACACCTGATAAAATGTAAATATACCTACAAAAGAATGAAGAATGTAACGCAGTCAATAAGGAACAATATGTAGTAATACTTACCGCTATGATTTGAAACAGAAGCTAATTAGACTTGTGATAATCATGATTATTATTATTATTATTTCTACCATAAACGAGCACTTTCTCCAAGACGATAATTTTTATACTAAATATAAAACTTATTTTGAAAACAGAGAACTCATTGGGGGAGAAATCTGAAAATGGTCACTTACTTCACTTGTCTAGACACAATCGTTTCAGTTACAGGCAGAACGAATGAAGATATCAACGCCAGAAATGTTAAATCAGTCACTTCTTCTACATGAGTCAAAACCTTGCACCGCATGTCATCAAAAGCATTTCGAACAGGCTATTGCAGATTTCTATCAACAGCTGGTTTCATACTGAAGATCAAATTGCCGGTTGGAAAGAATTAGCAACAAGAAACTATGGGAGAAAACTGACAAGCAAGAACCTATTGCTAAACCAATAAGTATGTTGAAGAAAATAGAGATGGATTGGGCACACGCTGAGGAAACCGTTTAGGGACATAACACATCAAATAGGCCATCACTCGAGTGTCAGCCGAATGGGAAACGATGAATTGGGAATAGGTCCGAGGGTGATACGGGTGAAGATCATGCAAGGAGAAGATTAGAGACTATTGGCGGTCATGGGTCCAGCTGAAAAGGATCTCAGAGAATAAAACAAAGTGAAGATGTGCTGTTAAAGCCCTACTTCCCATTCAGAACCCAAGGGAACAATGAATAATATGTGGGAAATTCACATATAGAAAATCAAAACAAATGATTCAGCGAAGAGATTCTTTTCAGAGAATTTATTATCAAGCTACACAATCGTAGATATATTTAAGAAGTTATAAACGGTGAGGGAATTGAATCAAAGGTGTGAATACATGAAATAATAATAGTATTAAATGCAACTAAAATGTATGTGATTATAATCATAGTTAAATGTCAAGCGGCGAAGTAATTAATGTCATATATGGAACAATTCATCAGATTTATAGATGTTGGAAGGGGGTGTAAAGTTATAGGATAGGTAGACAAATATATGAAATTCGAGATTTGTCATTCTACACAGTTCCAGAAGGTGAAATTTCATCACCGTTTTGTCTGGAAACTGAAATTATTCGGACAACAGTAGGTGATCTCCTTGATGTCATCAGCGGTAATCAAGAAATCAAGTAATAAACACAAATGACGCTATATACTACTGATTAATTGAGATGAATGGTAGTATACTACTCAAATCGACCAGTTAGTACTTGAGAAACGACCGTTCGGTGTTCGCATCACATTTCGATTTGCTTAAAAAGCAGGAATGTTTGATGTGAGTGGTGTTCAAGAGCTACTCATTCCAATCAGTCAGTAGTATGTAGTGTAACAGAATTGGTCAACTTCACACTTGAGTTATTCATAAAAATAGGGGTAGATAAACACAGAAACGACAATACATACAGTAAACACAGAGATAGAGACAGAATACTTTGATGAAAAACAATGACGATATTCAGTATTTTGAATTTACCAGAAATAGAATACAACTGCATCAGTGTTAAGGAATATAAGTCTTCACTCAGTGACTATTAACATCCCAAAGATTCCAGACAAGTAATCTAAACATTCCTACATTCCTGAGACTCATAAGCATGAATTTCGATGACTGATTTCATCATATGGTGTAATTGTCACTCATTAAAAGTTTTGTTCCAATCAAATATAAAAAGACTTTTATCAGAACACTATTCACTAGAGTGTAGTGTAAATACTAATGTTTAAAGAATTGTTTTAGTTTGTACTTGAACTGTACTTTGCACTGGCTCGAATGCCCGTGTGAGCTTTTCCCTTGTGCTGTCAATACTCACATTCCTTGAATTTGTAATTAAAGCCATTACATCCGTCAGATAAGTTCTAGACTTTTTGCTATGGATTTTATTTTACTCAAATATACTGTGCAATAGATAACATTTTCATAATAACCGGTTGGGCAGAGTACTGAAATATTGGGTACATAGATGAACTGCATTAAGTAATGACTGGTAAAGTGTAGCATATTGACAGCATCACCAGTACCTCACATTAGCACGAAAAATTTATTCTGACAGTATAACTGAACAGGAAATAAAGATTCTGAGGTTTGTTTTATCTAGGAATGGATATCCTGAGAAGTGCATCAATAAATAATAATAATAATTTACTTTATTCCAAAAACAGTACTTGTGATACAGAATGGAATTTTCAGCATTAATCACAATATTGCATCTAATTTCCTCAAATTATAAATAAAATTAATCACACAGAAAATTTTCCACATTTACAATAGGGGTAATGTCAAAAACATGCAGCATATAAAATGGAAATAATAATAATGATAACAGCTAAGGTAATAATAATAATACAAGTGAAAATTGCCGTGTGCTTTTTACACAGAGTATTGTCAATGTGGTATAGAAATCCTAACATGTTTAAAAATATTGAATATAATGTTCTCTTTACATGATATGGTGAAGGGAAAAACAAAGATTACAGCCGTCATGGAGATAAGTTGGTGTTTGCAATTATGAGAGTAAAACAGAGAAGTAACAGGACCATAAATATAATAGAAGTAATAAAAGTAAAACTTGAAGGTATATAAGGATGGATGGAGGAAATTGTTTATTTACTAGATGAAAAAAGGTTAGTTAATTCTTGCCTGACACTATTTTCATCACATAAAATACGTGCCAAGTATGGTATCATAGAATTTTTATACTTAGACGTGCGAGCATACAGTTTTCTGAAGTTACTTCTTGTTCTACCTGAGGAGATGCAAGGTGAAAGCTGAGGGTAAAGCGGATGCTCCAAGTCAGACAAAATCCCTTTAGCAAATTTATTGCACGAAGTCAAGTGCCTATCGACAACGACGTTAACTATGTGGTCCACTGGGACACCACTCACTCTACTGACAGTCTTCAGTATTCTACGAATTGTGACATAGTCCTTTTTAAGCAAACCAGGAAAGAATAAGGGTGAACAATAAAGAAGAATAGGTAGGATGCAAGAGTTTATGAACTGTAAGAGGAGAGGTTGAGTTATACCCGAGTGTCTTAACTTCTTAATGTAAAATGTCAGGCGGAATATTTTACTGGAGATTGCTAAGACATGGGAAGACCAGGAGAGATCAGAAGAGAGAATGAGTCCAAGATACTTAATTTCTGATTTGATTTCCATATCATTGTCGTCAATTTTACAACTGTCATGAGAATCGATGACTTCTTTTAACTGTCGTTTACATCTTAAGCTGAAATCAACAGTTTGACATTTAGAAGGATTCAGTTTAAGACCGTTAGACTCAGACCATTTGCTGACTTCCGATAGAAAGCTATTTATTTTAGTACAATCTAGCTGGGAGTTAACAGCCATTGAAACCGTTAAATCATCAGCGTACTTCACAAAGTTTATTTCATCAGAGTGAGGCAAGTCATGCAAGAAGAAAGAAAAAAGAAAAGGAGAAAGAACAGCGCCTTGAGGGACACCAGCTTCAGTAGGCAATGAAGTGGAAGACTTCCCTTTATATACGGTGTACTGCTTTCTTTCTGAGAAATAGGAATGTAACCAGTTAACAGCCCAACATTCTGTTTGACTAGCAGCAAGTTTATTTAATAAGATGTCCCTAGGGACCGAGTCGAAAGCAGATGTATAGTCTAGGAAGGGCAACGAACAAATTTAGCCCCCTTGTCTAGACTGGAAGCAATGTTATGATATAAGACGGCAGCTGCATCTAAAGTGCTTCTACTGTGCTTATAGGCAAATTGTTTAGGGTCATTAAAGGATTTAAGCGAAGGTACAAGACTAAGTAAAAGTAATTTCTCCATAGTTTTCAAAAAAGGAGAGGTAATAGCAATGGGTCTAAATTTGACACATGCTCCAGTAGATGATTTAGGTATGGGTACAAC